GCTAGGCGGCGAACGCGCGCGCGCCAACAGACGGTTGGCTTGGCCGGCGCGCGTTCCACGGCGGCGGCTCGCGGGCGCGGCCGTGTGACGCGGCGCGCTACTTGGCGGGTTGCCGCGACGCGTCGCGCGGCGGCAGGCCGCGACCACGTGCGGGCGTGGCGCGGTCTTTCCCGCGCTGCAGCGCGACGCGCCGCGGCGCGCGGCCTCCTGAATGCGGCGGAAGGGGGCGCTCCCGTCGCGCAGCGGGCCGTCGGGCGGGGAAGGGGGCCGCGGTGTTGCGGCGGGCGCAGGCAGACAGGAATGCGCGTGGCTGCGTTTGTTGGCTGAGGGGCGTAAGCTGACGTCAGGGTATGATGCTCTGTTGGTGGGAGGGCGCGTGGAGAGGTTGGTTGGGCGGATGCAGCGGTGGTGTGGGTCGGGGGTTTTGCGTGCGAAGGTGGGAGTTGCGGCGGGGGTATGCTGCCGGCGGCGTCGAAAGATACGCATACACATGCGGTACACGTTCACACATGATGCACATAGGGGCGAAGGTTTTGCTGGCTTCCTGGGCATCTCCACGCCTCATGCGGCGGAGAGGAACGGTGGGTGATACTGTACGATCGGGAACCAAGGGGGCGCGCTCGCGTTTCCCTCTTCGGCTGCGTTGTGCCGCAAGCGGGTGCGTGACGTTTTACCGGGCTGCAGCACGTCTCGAATCGTTCCCGGCGGCACTCGCGTTTCGCTTCGTGGACCGAGCCACTGCACCTATCCTACTCTAGTGTCTCGAGTAAGGGTACTGTATTATTCAAGCTTATTAAACTTAGATTGTCGGTGTTGGTGCTTGTATGTATTCAGACATAACGTATATTGCCGAGGGAATGCGCGTTACCCTTGGTACAGTATAGAAATGGTGTCCAAACTGCCTTTATAAAGTTGCACTTGATGATGCACAGTACCCAACGGTACGGTACCGTTGGTACTTACTATATATACTGTATTATTATGCAAAAAAAAAAAGTGGCCATATATGAGGCCTTGCAAATTGGCGGTCGTGTAGGTACCAGCGACATCGGGGGACCGGTGTGGCGGGGCGCGGTGGCGGAGGTAGACGTGACGTGCGGCCGAGAGGTGGGTGCCGGGGCGGCCCATCGGGTAAGCGCTGCGTGCGGTGTACCAAAGGAGACAGAGCTAGTCCGGGAAGCGAAGCCGCCGTCCTGGAGCAGCCCGCGGCCAGGGGAGCGCGCCGCCCGCGCGGGGTGGAGTCCCTCTCTGCTCGCGGCGGCGCGGCCCCTCGCGGAGGGCATGTTCACGGAGGCGGTGCAGCGACGCGGGCGCGGCGAAGAAGAGGACGTGGTTGCGCGCGCGCACACGTGTCCGCGTGCGGCGCGGCGCGAGTGTAAATTGCTAGCGCGGCTGCCGCGAGCACACGCGAGCGAGCGCGAGAGAGAGAGAGAGCAAGCAAGCAGCGAGCGCGCGCACACACGTGCCCCACGCGAGGCGCGCCCGTAGCGCCAGTGCCCTAGGCGCCGTCCGTAACGCGCATGCTTGCACCCGCACCCGCGCGCAGTCTGCGCGGCGCGCCGGCTGGAGGCGGGGGCGCAATTCGAAACGGAGCCATTCCCGCACACGCCGCGCGCGAGAGAGAGAGAGAGAGAGAGAGAGAGAGAGAGAGAGAGAGAGAGAGAGAGGCGCAGCGCGCGAAGCAGAGGCGCACGGTTAATGCCCGTGCGCGGCCGCCGCACGTGCCGCGCAGAGCCCGATTATACGCGGCGCGGCGCGGCGCGGCGCGGCGACGTGTCGTCGGCGCGGACGAGATGTGCGCCGCGCGACGCCGGGCATCGCTTGGGCGGCGCGGCGCGCCTTCCCGCGTGC